CGAGTCGTTTATTAAAATCGATTATGAGAATAGTATTACAGGCAAAAGCCGATAATTGTTCAGTTGGACAATTTGACGTTGGTATTGTTATTGGATCATCGAATGAGACGGTATATAGATTTTATTTTTTGTCACTATTATAAGTCACTCGTCTATTATAGTTTTAAAATAACATTAAAGATATGGGTGAACTACAAGTAAGTATTCATTTTAGTACAGATTAAAATGTATCTTTGAAGTCCACTGCCGGAGTTAGAAAATTTTGGCACTATTAATTTCGTTTGTTATATTGACACTGTGTCATATGGTAGATATAAGCCGTCGAAAGTTAACGAGGGCTGTCTTGTACCGTGGTTATTCGCTCTCGCAGCGGCTATTAGCTCAACGATTCTACAAGCAAAGACACTAGCATATACTATCAATCTTCTTAAGTTATCTTGGCTTCGATGTAGTTGTTACTATATTGCTAAATACAATGTTAAGCGAACCTTGCATCTACATTGTTACAGTCACTTAGTTATACCTTCAAGAATGTTTTATTTCAGAAAGGTGCATTAAGTTGGTTTTAATGATCGTACAGAACAGCACAAAGAAGCAGCAAGCTTTCAACGTTTCACTAGCAAGAAGTTTCTGTCATTCCGTGCGATAATGGTTTTCACGATGTGAATGAAGAGATGCTTTGCTGTCCGTCGATTCACATAATAAGCTCTTCAGAAAAAAAATTTGGACCGATTCGGTTCCCCATATAAAAAGTCGGTTTTGCGCTAATGTGAACAATGCTTTTCTGTTGATATCTGACCATACTCATGCAACGCTATAAGTAGCTAGTAAATGATAAAAGCAGAAGACTTTCAACCATTTAGACTCATTAAAACCTTCATAATTCTATTTCTATTCAACCAAAATCATTAAGAAAACATATGCCAGTACAAACTTACGCGCATCAAAAAGTCTTCACTATCCATGCTATGCAGTCCGCCTATGCCATGAAGATCTTGAATTTATTGATATTTTTACTTTTACGAAAAGAATTAATCTTGTGCAAAGAGTCAAAAAGATAATTGCTCATGTAAAGCGGAGTACCATGTGTTTGAAATAGAATTAGAATTAGAATTAGAAGAATTATTAGAGATCTCATCATCGCCTGCTAAGATGGAACCGAGGAAGTCACAGGATGCGAGAATGAATCGATGGATAATGTTTCCATAGCGTCTGTATACTTGAAAAGATAACAACTCGGGTCAGGATGCATACTGTAATACATCTGACCAGATACTGTCAAATTTCATGAGTGGTTGGTAACTACTCGTCAAATAGACTTAAATGACTCGAAAGTTAATGAAAATTTATGTCTGTCCCAGTAACTTCTATTATCATTTCAACTGAAGGTACCGTATCAAAACCTTCGGTGTCAAGAAATGCATCATAAACAATATCAAAATTTTCACCAATATCGAAAGATGATGAAGACGATGTCATAAGAGCGCGTTTAGCACGCACCGAAACGTCTCGATCAATAGCTCGTAAATTGTGATTCCCGTTTCTATAAACGAATGCTGCTTCTATTGCCTGTTGAAGATTTGGTGGTGACCATACAAATATATAGTAATTATTTTTTATTTCACTCATAATAGGAATAGTTGACCACTTTAAAGCAACTGAACTTTCGTCTAGTAGAACAGACTGCTTCTGGACTAAATATCGTTGTAATCAAACACATAAACAATTATTTCATCGCGTATTCGCGCTTTTAGTCAAACAGACTAAAGCTTAATCTTACTTAGGTAGTGATATAGTTAAAACCGACACCCATGAGCATATTCTCCTACCCTAATAATCAATGAAGCGCTCTGATGGTTAATAGAACGTCCGAAGCCTAACTGGCATCCTTGCATGAGTTGCTCATATTGTCTGATAATTAGTTAGTTGATTGTAGCTAAGTAAGTCATTTTTCATCTTCACTGTTTGAAGAGCATCATCTTCAAAAGATCGTTCATGATGGACACGCCAGTCAGGGAAGTAAGGCGCGGCAGAGTTGGAACCGGGCCGGCCCGGGCGGGTGCCGGTCCGGTCCGGTGTAAAAGTTTAGACCGGCCGGTCTCCACCGATCTTTTGCCGGTCTAGAAATATTTTCAAACCGGCCGGTGATCGACCGGT